GAAACCTTTCGTCTTATGATTTCACGCTTTTTATAAATTTTCTCCAGACGTTTATATAACCCAAGATATGGGAAAAAAATATTAATAATAAATTTAACTTAAATTAACCTATTTCCTTCGATATTTAAAGAAAGGTAGATGACTATCTTCGTCTAGGAACATTCTTTTAGTAACTTTATTTCTACCTTGATATAATATATACAAGAAAGTCTTCAGTTTTTCCCGAGATATACCTAAATTTTAGAGGTTTCTTGATTTTTGTACAATGCTGTCTTTCCATAGCTGGTTAATACTTTACGAAATATACAGTAATCCATACAGAATACAATATGATAGTACTTATTTTCAATTAAGATTGATTGTTTATTAGAATATTTTCATAATTCGACAAGAATAACTGACAGACCATTTTCTTCTAAAAGAGTTATCTTAAAAAGAGCAGAAGATTTGAATAAACATTATTTTATTGAGATCCAAGAAAAGCTTATCATCTCTCTCTCTCTCTCTCGGCCGTGCGGCCGCGCGGCGCGCGAGCTCCGCATTTTTCTATCTGGAGATGGAAAACTTCGAGTTTTCCAACCCATATGCAGTACTGGCGGTGAGCCAGGATAAAGATCTACACGGCGGTATGATTCCCATCGAGGTAGCTGAAATGGAAGTCGATTTATCGACGATAAAAGATTCGACGAAGAATTGTTTGAATTCAGGTGTGAGCGACGGACATGCAAATTCGTTCGTGAAAAACGGCGGATATGTAAATCCGGCCACGGCAAAAAGTGAAAATTGGGCGGAGCAAGTTGAGGCCGCGAAAAAGGATAATAACACCGAACCTTTTGAATCTGTACACCGGAAAAAAAGGAAACGTTTTGACTCTAAAAGTCAGCGGACCCAGCTTGTGAGGCCGGACGCTAGCTCTCCAAAACCATCTGGACAGCTTCGAAGGACCACAAAAGAGCCTGTGACCCACGTCAGGAACACCAGACAGCAACAGGCGCTGAACAAAGCTAGATCAGAAGCTACATCGTTCGACCAATGCTGCTATGTCGAATGGTGCGCGGATTTCCATCACGTCCACTATATGAAGGCCTTGGAAGAGTTGCTGGGGAAGGATTCCGTCTACCAGCTGATGAAGAAGTCCGGCCATGCTATGGTCGCACTGGCCAGCATTGAGAAGGCGGAGCGCCTGGTGGAGAATGGACTCACCATAAACAACACCTTCCTCAGGGCATTCCCATACAGAAGGAAGGCGGAGAAGATCATCCTCGGGAACCTGCCCATCGCAGTGAGGGAGGAGGACATCATCGAGGCCCTGCGACCTTACTGCCGGGTTGTCTCCCTGGCCTATGAAGAGGTGTCCTGTAACGGATACACCTGGACCACCGGCAACAGGGAGGCCTTCGTCCTCCTGAATGAAGGACGCAAACTCCACCAGCTCCCTGCCAAGCTGGTGATCATCTCCAAAGGAGAGTCCACACCCGCCTACGTCACCTACGGCGTTAGGTGTAGTAGATGTCACCGCCAGGGACATCGGCGAGCCACCTGCCCCCAGGGCACCCGAAGTGGACCGGTGTTGACACCTCCACCCTCCTTGCCCACGCCCTCCCACAGCTTCACAGCGACTACATCGGCTGAGGGAAATTCTGGAACCATCCAGACAATCCATGTGACACCTCCCAATCCTGCCGCGTCTTCGCCCGCGGAGAGCTGCCCAGTCCTTTCCCAGAACACTCCAGCCACCAAGCCTTCTACTCCGGCGCCGAGCACCAGCGTGTTACCATCTATACTAGCACCTTCCTCGACCACTACTTCACCAACAGCGGACCCTGCCAAAGATCAGGCCAAGACTGCACTAACAATGGGATCTTCCGTCCCTAAACCACAAACCACACAGCTTCCTCAGCTCACTTTACAGAAGGTTGAGGATCTGTTCAAGGTACTAGACGCTGACTCCTTCCTGGAACCCCTATATATGGATTATCACAGGTGGGAAATAGAGAAGGCTGTTGTATGCCCAACCATGAGGGAGGACGTCTTCACATATCTTTCGCCCGAGCAGATCTCTGCTCTGAAGAAATTCCTTGACAAGGCAATCGCCCATGTCGGGGACAAGGACTCCGACCTAGGCAAGAGGCTGTCCGACTTCAGGACAGAATGCGACATTGAACGAGACGAATCCCCATGGTATTCGTCTGATACAAACGATTAGAGATTCTGAATATTTATTTTTTGTTATTTTAACTGTTGTAATGTTTAACTGTTGACTTGAGGTCAATAAACCTTTTAATTGTCATTGTCTCTCTCGATAATATATTACTTTGTGATCGAAACATGACTGCCATCTATCGGAATATATATCAACTGAACTTTGATTTGGATTTATTCAGTGCATATTGGCCATTCTCTTGAGATAATTAAGAAAGGCCAACAATTTGCATGTTTCGGGCTGATGATTCTCTTTAGCATGGAGCAGACTTTTTCAAATGCTTATTTGAACAGTCAAGATATGACTTTTTTAGTCATTTTAGTGATTGGCCTCCTCTTTCTTTTCTACTTTTTCTTTCTCCATTTTAGCATATAATGCTTTATATTTTTTAAGTGAAACTGAATATATTTATAATAATAATATATATTTATTCTGTGTGTGTGAACTTCTACATTATAGATAGTGAGTGTTATATATATTCTATTTAGTACATACTATTGAAAATAGAAATTGTTGCATTCGGAAGCAACTAGTGGAATATTATGGAACTTGGAATGAATTTACAGTCTTTTACCTAGACTAAATAATAAAAAATATAGGAAGAATATTGAACTTTGAAAAATTTGAAAACGTTTTGCATCCAAAATTTATTTATTCACTAAACGCCACAATATAGGACAAATTGAACCAAATTTCATTTAATTCTTCAACTTCTAGATGTAGCACCTTCTATATCCGCTAGTATATTTAAATTAGGTTTAGACATAAGAATACAATTACAGAGATAATGTAGAATGAAATAGGTCACCATAAATACTTACAAATATCGTGAAAGCAGTCTGGAATATATATTAAACTCCCTAGATAGCTAAATTCTCACTTTAAGTTTCATTATCTTGTCACCTGTCTTGACATGTGGCTTACCTTAATCCTAAAATGTTCATAAAATTAAATGGTAGCCATTCTAGATCCAATGTATCACCATAGTTGAGGATAAAGAGCTTTAGAAGCTGTCATTTTGATAGGTTTATTTTGGGAAGTATTTTTAACTTAAAATGTGTTCAAGACACACTAGAAAATCTTATGAAAGATTGTCTAAATACATAGTCCGGTTTCTTTTGGAGGTGTCCTCTTATTAGAACTCCTTTTGGTTGAAAGAATCCTTGTGGCTTGGACAAATATATCAGAGTCTGATGAGAGACCACTACCTCCAGAAGAGATCCGTTTTAGCCATGTTTATAGGGTATGGTCTATCATGGAAGACTCTATTGTCTATTCAAATTGATGTTTGTTGCACTTAAGTTTGACTTCGTTATATGCTTATATAATATTTACATATTTGAGGCTATCTATGAATAAGAAATTAAGTTATTTGCATATATTTTCAAGAAGAATCTATACAATCTACAAAAATAAAATATTATTGGAAAAAAATAAAGTAAATAAAAATGTAACGAATAGAAGAAATCTTCCTCTTTCACTATGCTAATCTTCCATCACACAGATAATCGCATTAGCAGAAAACCGTTAATCAAGCTTCAAATTGGCGATTCGCCTATTTTTTATTCCTTTGTTTCGGTCTTCAGTTGCTTTTTCTTATTTACAAGCTGTGAAAATAATAGAGAAAGAAAATCTCAAACCAGATAAGAAGATAAACAGCCCTATGAAAGCATATTTTGAAATCCCAAAGATATATTTTTCCCGAAAAGGATAAACGAATCAATGAAAATATCGAGATTTAATTTGTTAAAATAAATATATTAGAATTCATGTATATTAAAAATAAGTATTGGGCTTCTTCATTAAAAATTCGGCAAGCTTTCGTGCTTAAACTCTTCCTCAGGCCTCTAATTTCAAGCTTTAATCTTCCTCAGGTTTCTCTGATTCCAAGCTTTCGAGTTTGCCGAATATTTAATAAAGCACAATATGTCATTTGACCTTTATTAGGTATCTGCAAGACAAATTTTAGATTCCTGTGTATTTTGAGCTATCAGTAATCCTAATTTTTTCAAAATAAATATAAAAATGAATAAATACTAAATATATTTTTAAAATCTATACATTACGTATATAAGCGTCCGAATTCATTTATGTATGAATTAATTTACACAAAGAAAAGGTTCATAGTTTATTCCACCACCACAGTTTACATTTCCAGTCGAGGTCCAGCTGCTCCGTCAATGTATCGGGGCGATGAAGCAGGTGTTAATCTCCACTTTGCCCCGGACCCAGCAATCCTGGGATCGATAAATGTGCTGAGTCACTAGGGGGACTCCCCAGGGATGGAATCCCTCTCCCCACCGCCCGCTGTGCCGCGGACCCCCCATCGTCAAGTCAACGTTACCTTGTCGAGATGCACCTTCACCGAATCCATCTTCCCATCACTATCTCTTTCTCAACCCCCACTGCGTGCATACTTGTTCGTCCATGTTTATACTGATATGGGAACGATACAGAGAAGATTAACATGGCCCGTGTGCAAGGGGGACACACAAATGGTGGAGGGTTCCATATGTCTCACTGCCAAATGTTGACGAATGTTTTCATGCGAGATATCATTTGAATTTTCTTCATTGTTGTGCTATATCGACAAGATAATGAACTGATTTTAGGGTGCTGTCCATCATACGTATTCAAATATGGAGAGATTCGGCGATCTTGCTGGTCAAAGTAGTGTTAGGCAAGCAGGAAGACAAGCACCGTGGGATGGTTTGGCTACCTAAGCTGTAATGCTTGAATAACTGTGGAAGAAAAGCACCATTGGATAATGGGCTACCTAGATCAAAGTCTGTACGCCTGAGTGTCCAATGCGGGATTCGAACCCGAGTCATAGCAATCTCAAACTTAATGTTTAGATCACTCAACCACCGAATCCTGGAAGACCCAAGTAAGACAAGCAGTTGGAACTATTCATGATAAAATTGTGAAAAAAGTTTTAAAATTACAAAATAGTTTCTCACAATGAGTTTCTTTTTATTAAAAAACACGCTAGCTTTCAAGTGATAATCGCTCATCAACGGGCTTAATAAAATATCGACTATCTGTGATATGTGAATATCTGTGAGGGCCGCTTTGACGTTTTGATAGGTCTTTACAATCAATCGTCTCTCAACTTCTTCACTCTTCCGTTACCTTTACGACACTGTGTTCATCCATGGTTGCCTGTCATATCGTAGAAAAGTGGCATCTCTCGGGTGATCCTCTGATACTCGATATTTTATTAAGCTTGTTGAAGAGCGATTATCGCTTGAAAGCTAACGTTTTTTAATAAAAAGAAACTCATTGTGAGAAAATATTTTGTAGTTGAAACTATTGTCGTATGAGGTCAAGCATTACTCTGGTGATTTGATGGGAAACACAACTATATAGAATATCATCCACATACTGTCATGTTGTAAGGGTGCCGAGGATGATAACCAAAGCGGTCAAACTATTGAAGAAATGGCACCCTAGTCCATAACTCCCGGTTATCAGGCCGTGTGACGGAGGATAATCAGGTTGGCAATTCACTATTGTTCAGACAGGTCTTTTCAGGTCTTCGGAATATAATTCAAAGCGGAAATAATCACTGAAGACAATTTAAATCCTGGCAGTCAATTCTCAAGTTTAATGAGTTCGTCAAAAATGCAAATATGCTTATCGATTTGCACGGGTAGAGAGTAGCCATCAATAAGGGAGGCCATGAGTTCAGATCCCTTTCTCTGAGCCGTCTAGTAATGGTCCTTTCGATCACTAATGTTACACGTCGTATCGTTGTCAAAGATGAATCTGTGAGAGCCCCCAGCTCTGACGATAGCTCGGTCCTCACGTTCGGTCGTCTCTCTCTGTCTTCAGTCTTCCGTTACCTTTTTGACACTGTGTTCGTCCATGGTTTCCTGTGGTAAAAAGTGACATCGCTCGAATGATTATCTGATTAAATTAACCATCTTCTTTCAGCTCAAATTCATTTTCTCTCACAAATGTCGACATATGCCAAATTTTCCAAAAATATTTTTATCAGGCAAAAGTGGCTAGACAAAATCTGTAACCAAAATATAGATGTAATTTTTTTTTCGGAAGGATATTGATATATAAAAAGAAATGTCATCTCTCTCATTAGCTAAACACCTATTTGGAAAATTCTGAAGATTTCATAATCCCGTGCAAATATCCCTGTACTGACGAATGCCATTAACCCGAAAACATGGTCTCCATGTAGGCGCTCTGATTTGTCAAGACTAATGTTATGACTTTGTCACCGACGTGAGTCCGCTAGTTTGCAAAGACAGTCAATAGATGGCATCTAGTTTTGATGTCTATTTTAACGATAGAGGCGACCTTTCTATTTATAGATCAATTTACTCCCTGCGAAATTTCTATCTAAAGTTTGATCAAATATTAGAGAGGTTTTACACACTCTATATATTTTATTCTTAGTAAACATAACATATAGCACCATCTATGTGTGGAGGATAGAGTTATTCAGAGCTAGTTCTTTTGATTTCATATAGGATGACTTTTTATTATTAGGGGAGTGAATATGAAAAAATTAGGAAAGGCTTTGCTCGTTAGTGGTAAACGCTCCCAACTATTTCGCCGAATTAATTAATCATGGTATGGTCTTCTTCTTTCTTATCTCCACTAAATCATATTTGAGTATCAAGCTTGTAAAGCTTGAGACTCTTGATGGTGTCTGCCGGGGTAGAGATCTTGGTATGGTAATTTATTATAGTAGGACAAATTGGCGAAATCCATGAGATAGTTCACCATTGATTAGCCAACAGTTTCCAAATCCTTATCACATTTAGTTTACTAGAAACTTTGTTTCATTTGGTTTTAAAAGAAACTTTCGTTCTTATAGTTTTTTTATCTCATATATATAAATGACGCGTTATTATCTTATGTTTACTTTATGCCTTAAGTGACCTTGTCCTTATTTGGAAAAAAATATGACTACATCAACTATGAGAACTTGAAACTCTTCCGGTATGCAACTCTTCCGTCCAATGATACGTTTATCTTAAGTTACATCAACTATAATAATATTGGTTGATGTAGCTATATTTTTTTTCAAACCAACTTCCAACCTACATATGGTCTTCGAAACTTGTGCTTATTGTTTGTGGAAGAGCATTGCTCGCGCGATGCAAACATTTTTGTGTAATTCTACTGTCCTAAAAGCTTATGTCCATAGTTTTCTTAAATCCCATAACTATGATCCCATCCTTCAGTCTCTCATATATAAACAGAATCGTCATATAGAGTGTTTTAGAAATAAGCCAACTATTATTACTATAGTATTAGATCTCTGATAGCGGTCTGGTGGATTAAATAGGCAAAACTGCTGGGAAGGTTCCCCACTGATGAGACAAGTCTTCCCAATATATTTTTTCATCGCAGTAAGGATAGTAGAAAGTTTGTTTCATATAGTTTGAAAAATCGTGGCTTTAGGGTTTTATTTCTTATATATTGAGTTCACTAATTGTAGAAATCTGTCCAATATATGATTAAGAGAAATACCACTTAGTTCGTATCCTGTTGAAGGACATCAATCCGAAAACTCAGGTGTTATGTAAAATGAAAGAGGCTCTTATCTTTTCAAAAAATAGCACAAAAATTAAATTGTACTTGGTATCAGGTGTATAAATTAAGAGAAAAAGCATCTCCTGATAGCACAACTAAAGGTTGCTGATGACTTTCCCATCTGTCGGAATAAATATTGTAAGTAAATAATTATTTTAAGAACAGATAATTAATTTCTATATTTATATTTTACTACTCTGTGTCTTCCCTTATTGCGCTTCTCTTATATTTCATACATTTTTTTACTTTGTATCTGTGCCTCAAATAAATTACTGTGTCATCCTGAGGTATATCTTTCTCAATTTTCTATGTGAGATATGGTGGAGATGCTGAGTAAATTAGGGGAGACAAACTGAATATCGCCGAGAAGACCTTGTGGCAATGGTTGCTGTGATCTACATTTTCAGCTAATGGCTCCAGGATTCCACCGCCGTGTTAAAGTCAAGACTACTCTCCAAGATGACGATGTCCCTATAGACGATACGACGACAAAGCCGCTCTTCACGCCGCAAGAAATAGGACGTTAAAGTACTAGGGATAAGGTCCCAAGACTCCGAGGGAATCCTTGTAAGAAGCACGTCAGATCTATGACGGTATCAACAAGATTTGCGAGCTGTGAGTCACAGCTTGCATAGGGAAGGAGCTATGTAACGAAATAATTATTTTATGAACAGATAATTAATTTCTATATTTATATTTTATACTACTCTGTATACTTCCCTTATTGCGTTTCTCTTATACAAGGTGTGTTCATTAATTTCCAGGACTGCTCTGTATCTTTGAAAAAATGAAACAAATAAAAAAACTAATTTAATATTTTTCAAAATATGCCCCTCCTGCCTCAATACACCTGTTCCATCTTTTTTTCCAATTGTCGAAGCAGGAGATAAAATCACTTTTTGAGAGGTTCCTCAAGGTTGCCTTCGATTCAGCTTGTATCATATCAACGTTGTCAAATTTCCTTCCTTTTAACTTCATTTTCATTTTAGGATAGAGGAAAAAGTCATTGGGGGCTAAGTTGGGGGAATAGGGTGGATGAGGGATCTGTATGGTTGAATGTTTGGCCAAGAACTGCAAAACAACATGGGCTGTGTGCGGCCGCGCATTATCGACATGAAGTATCCAGTCATTGTTTTGCCATCTTTCAGGTCTTTAAAGGCGCACTGCCTCCTTTAAGCGCCTCATTATCCCCAAATAAACCTCTTGATTAATTGTACGTCCGAAAGGAATAAATTCATGGTGAACCAAACCATTAATATAAAAAAATGTAACAAGCAATGTCTTGACTTTGGGTTTTGTAAATCTTGCCTTTTTGGGTTTCGGTTCCTCTCTTTCAATTCATTGGCTGGATTGACGTTTGGTTTCCGGGTCATACTGATACACCCATGTCTCATTCCCGGTAATGATTTTTTGCATCCATTCTGGATCGGTCCGAGTCCTTTCAACCATGTTTTTGCAGACATCCATTCTAACCTCCTTTTGTTCCTCTGTTAGAATCCGGGGAACAAATTTTGAAGACGTCTGGATCATGTCCAAATCTTTTGTTACTATCTGATGACACAGTCCTACAGATAATCCAGTCTCTGAAGATAAGTCTTTAATAGAAATTCTTCTGTTAAATTTAATTAATTCCTTTATTTTGAGCTTGTTTTCCTCGCAACGTAATGATCTTGGACGCCCAGTATGCTGATCATCGTTTACCTTTTCCCGACCTTTTAGGAAGCGTGAAAACCATTCAAAAGTTCTTGAACGGGATAAAGCTGCATCGCCAAAAGCTTCTTTAATCAATTCATACGTCTCAGTAGCACTTTTTTCAATTTAAAACAAAACTTAATGCAGATTCTCTGCTCTTCGAAAATGGCCATTTTAAAATTAGAAATGCGAACCTTACAAGGAAGTTGTTTTGTTCTATTTTTAGATCGGCGCGTGCGCCACGATGCTTGTGCTTTCAGTCAGGTGTGGTCGAATGTCCAATATTTAACTCTGTATACAATTTTTTTCTTTAGCTTTTTTATTTATTTTATTTTTTAACCAGTCCTGGAAATTAATGAACGCACCTTGTATTTTATACATTTTTTACTTTGTATCTGTGCCTCAAATAAATTGCTGTGTCATCCTGAGGTTTTTCTTTCCTAATTTTCTACGCGACAATATCAACTAATCGTTGATTTTTAATTATTCCAGAATTGGTCAAATACCCATTCTTGATTAATCAAGAAAAGCTAACCACATACTTTCTTCACTTTTTGTTATCCATTCTTCTATCAATATACAAGTTGATTGAATAACTTCAACCAACTTCCACTGAATAA